TGACAAGGAATTGTCTGGGCGCTTACGCGCGAGGCTGCATCGATACTCACTCGATGGCGGCCTGCTGTACTACAGCACCGACGCTGAGGATAACCCTCGTGTAGTCGTTCCTCATGATGAGGATCTAAAGTCTATGAGGTTCATGATACGCCCGTGGGCGGGCACTTAGGTCGGGAGAAGACCTATGGCTCGGTGAGATCGATGTACTGTTGGCCCAAGATGTATAAGTGGGTCGGCACCTATGTACGCACGTGTGAGACGTGTCAACGGACAAAGTCCGCGCCGAGCACGGCAGCGCCATTGGCGAGTTTGCCTGTCCCCAAGGAATGCTGGCAGTCCATGAGTATGGACTTTGTGTTTGACCTTCCCAAGGATAAGGCGGGAAACACAGGTATAGTGGTCTTTGTAGACCGATTGAGCAAGATGGCTCATTTAGCGGCAGTGCCGGACACCATTGATGGTGAAGGTACAGCTTTGCTGTTTTTAGACCGAGTCTTTCGCCAACATGGCTTGCCTGAGGCAATTGTCTCGGATCGAGACCCGCGCTTCACCGCGAAGTTCTGGACGTCCCTCTTCAGAGTGCTCGGCACTCGTTTGGACATGTCCACAGCGGACCATCCGCAGACCGATGGTCAAACCGAACGCGTGAATCGCGTTGTGGAGGCTACACTCCAAAGCGTATGCGCTGAGGCGCCAAAACGCTGGAGCCAGATGCTCCCACTCGTTGAGTTCACATTAAATAATGCAGTGCACGCCTCGACAGGCTACACTCCGTTCTATGTGAGCGGCTTGGTTAACCCTCGCGTCCCACTGACGCCGCCACGCAGTGGCTCAGGGCTTGGTGGGGGAGGGATAGCCGAGCGGCTAGCTGATGTCAGCCCTGTTGCGGTTCGCAAGCAAGTCGATGACTTTGTCCTTTTTGAGACTGAGCGTAATGCGTCAAGTACGCGACGCTATGGCTGAAAGCCAAGACACGCAGAAGGAACATGCAGATGCCAAGGGCAGAAGCAATGTTGAGAGGTTTGAGGTTGGTGACCAAGTTTTATTAAACGCTGAAAACCTACCTACTCATGCAGTGTCTGCAGTCTTCAAGACGAAGTTAAGACCTCGGTTCATAGGACCGTTCAAGGTCGTGGCCAGGAAGGGCCTAGCGTATACGCTCAACCTTCCGAAGAAGATGCGCACGCATCCGGTCTTCTATGTTGACTTGCTTAAGCCATATCAAGACCCTGCTCAGGTGAGCGCGGAGGCGTTGGCACCAACGGTGGCTGGGCCACGGACAGCTGCAGGGCAGCAGGTGGTAGAGCCACGGGAGGCTGAACGACAGCAAGTGGTGGATCCACAGATGGCTGATCAACAGCATGTGGCAGAGCCACAGGTCGCGGAGCGAAGTGCTCGAGATGCAGGAGCAAGGCAAGCTGAACGTTCAGCCGAGCAACTGGACGCTCAAGGCCCGAGACCTGGTTGTGAGTCAACAGTGGTGGCTCTAACCTATCCACAAGGTGGATCATCTCTTCGAGATCGACCGATGGGCGGTGAACGTGAACGTTCGCGTCGTGGACGCCGGCGTCGTATGGACGCAGACGCCGTTCCGGCAAGTGCTGACTCTCCCCGCGAGAGCCCAGCTGAGGCAAGGTCTCCTCCTGCTCTGCTCGATGAGCATGGTGAGCTCCACTTTCACGTGGAACGCCTTGTGGCGTGGCGTAGACGCCAGGGTCGTACCCAGTACTTAGTGAAGTGGAGGGGTTACCCTCACTCACAGAACTCATGGGAGTTTGAGGTTATCCTCCGGCAAGATTGCCCTGACGTCGTTGACGCTTACGACCGGGCACATCATGTGCCGAAGCGCCACCATGGCGTGCGACAGCGTCGCCAGGTGCTGGGCGCCTCCCACTAGAGTGGGGAGCGATGAGGTCAGTAGCTGAGCTCAGGCTCTGACCAGTGGCTGCAGCAGCCAGCTCGTACGTATGAGCGGTGCTCGCAGCGGGAGCAGGAGGTGAAGAGACCTCGTAGTGTTAGGGACATGGTCCCGAAGGAAGCAGGTGCTTCGTGTTGTGCTGAACAAGGTTCAGGCACAAGCGTCTCGATAGACGCATAGTTGTTTTGAAACAACTTGCTCGATGAGCATGATCCAAATGTGGATGCGCTGTAACAGCGAAAGTGGTGTCCCGGACGGGGATCGAACCACTGGCCTTTGGCTTGACAGGCCGGAGCTCTACCATTGAGCTATAAGGGCGATGCCCGTACGTCAGTCCGAGAACGGACTACTCATGGTATGAGAGGGCTGCGCCCGGGTGGATCTGAACCACCGACCTGTGGCTTCCAAAGCCAACGCTCGACCACTGAGCTAAAAGCGGATTGCTCTTAAGCTTGTCCAAGCGTGAACAATCGTTCATGGAACGACAGGGCTGTGCCCTGGTGGCTTCGAACCACCGACCTGTGGCTCTCAAAGCCAACGCTCAACCATTGAGCTAAAAGGGTGTTGCCCTTAAGCTTGTCCAAGCGTGAACAATCGTTCATGGAACGAGAGGGCTGTGCCCTAGTGGGCTCGAACCACCGACCTATCGCTTGTGAAGCGAGTGTTCAACCGCTGAGCTGTTGTTGACGACTCGAATGAGTCAAGAGCATTGCTCTAAGCGGTTTGCAGCTCTTGGAGTAGGCGCGGAGCGCGAGCGTAGGTCTGAGACCGCTTGTGAGCAAGAGGTGTTGACGCCTCGAGGTGATGGGGACGGGGTCCCAGTGTCTGTCGACGTGCTTTCGACTTAGCAAAGTCTAAGCGCAAACGTCTCTCAAGACGAATATCAGTTTCAGAGAAACTTGCTCGAAGAGCATTGTAGGAGGGGAGCCGTCGAGCTCTCTCCACCCAGCTTCGAAGTTGTGCTTCATAAGCACGCTGGGATTCCCCAGGGTTAAGAACAACCGGAATGGTTCGCATAGAGGGAACCGGTTGGCGGTCAAGCTGCATCTGCAGGCGCGCCTGATACGCCTGAGGAGTTGTGACTTGTGAAGTCAGATATCGCTCTCGGAGCCGGTGCCGCTGCACTTGCTCATCAGCAGTTGAAGCCGCAGGCCCACACGTGTACGTGTTCAGCGGCTGCTGCGCCGCGAGGCGGGCCGCTTCGGCAGGTTTCCGCGGCTGGAAGCCGTAGTCACGACGTGACGTTAGAACTAGTGGTCGGACCACAGGTTGGAACGACTGCGAGCGCTGCTCATTGGACAACTGACAGCCTTGGGCCTCGTCCAGGTCATTCGTAATGACGGTGTGATTGTATCGATCCTCCTCGTCATACCGCGACGATAGCGGTGGCGCATCGCGCAGTGCGCGAATCGGATTCGAGCGTTCAGAGAACGGATGCGGTGTCCGCAAGTCTCTTCTTGTTTGAGATCGCGCCGCCGAGCGGCTACACCTCACAGAGGAAGCGGGAGAAGACGCGGCACCAGTGTGCGACCTCGGAGAGGTTGGGTTGGAGTAATCCTCATCACCCATGGGCTCGTCATAGTCGACTTCGCCCTCTTCATGTTCAAAGAACAGAACATCGTTCCCTCTGGGCGGCGCCCGCGGCTCTGACGAGCTTTGAGCTTTGCTCTCCTCTTGTTGACGGCTCATGGAGCGTTGACCGTGTCGACGGCGATACTCTTGGTGGTACTCTGCCACAGAAAGAGACGAAGATGCTCTTGGAGCAGTTGCGGAGCGCAGTTGAGGGTCAGGGACCGACGAGGCAGGGGCGGCGCGACGCGCTGGAGACGTGGGGCCGTGGGCCGGAGCGGAGGTGCCAGGCATCAAGGATGCGAACGCGTTTGTGAGCTCGTGGAGCTGCGAACGCAGAGGTGAGGTCTAGTGACCTCCGTCGTCTTGACAAGACGTGACCTCGCTGAGGAAAGTTCGAGAACGGAATGTTCTCATCTTAGTGGGGGAGAGTGTAACGGGGTTACCTGGTGTGGAACACACAGGGGTACGAAGTACCCGGAGAGTTAACAAGCTCTCAGTACATAAGTTGGAGAGTTAACAAGGTCTCTCAGTACGTTGGCCGAAAGCCACACGTTATGCATTTGATTAGGTTTAACTATGCTACATAGTTAAAGAGATACATTTACCCCTTGGCGGCTTGGCCGCAATAATAGTAAATAAAACACTTCTGGTTTTGAAGCATAAAAGTTAAGGTGTTAGCTTTGAGCCCTGGTCTTGGGCTGTAAGTGTCCTTTGGATAAGGAACTTAGTATTAGTGACTCTTTGAGTCGAACGTCTTCCTCTGACGCTAAAGCTACGGCAGCCCCGCTGCACCCAGCCCTGTGCATTCTCAAGTTTGCCCATCTTTTGCAACAAAATAGCCCAACTTTTAACATGTTGTACGTACAACATGATTCCTGCTGTACGTACAGCCGTTGGGCGTTGGGGGGTTATTTTATCATTGCCGTTCTTTTGTCGGTTTTCAATTTACGGAAATATTTGGGCCGTGTTCGACTTCTCTGGCTGGGACTGGATTCGCGCAAATTGCTGGTTTAGATGTTACATAAAAATACATTGTTATTTAGCCCGATTCAATATTTTGCCTATGACTGAATTTTAAATCCAGCTCGTTTGAGGCATTCTAGTGCGATCAGATTTGGGTGTTTCAGAATCTGATAGCAATCGAGCTGTGTCAAAAATTCCAGCCTAAGCCTTAATAAATTCTCCGTAGCATTATTTATTGGTATCGCTACTGGGCAATTTCGTGGAATTCGCGTAATGACGGAGATCTCGTGCTGCGAATAGCACCGGCAGACCGCCGAACTCCTATTGGCAAGGGCGACCTACAAGTCTGGATCCGTCCGCTTGAAGTGTGAGGTCGGTTGGTAGGTTTCGTGGCAAGTAGCATGTGTTGTTTGTGCTTCCTAGTTGACGATGCCGTATCGCTTAAGCTACCAGAAGACAGCGACGAAGGCCGAGACGGCAGCGGTACACAGCTCTTTTCTCTCTCCAATAGGTTCTGGTAGTCCAGCATGATATCCCGTGCGCCGTTCTATAGATCAGTATGCGCACATTTAGTGAGTGACACGTCAAGGTTTAGCTGTAAAGTCTTTGAAGCACATACCTGACTTCGCTTGACTTCCTGCAGAATTGCCACATTTTCCTCGTGCAGATTTGTCGCCAGTGTTGCAAGTGGCCCTTTAACGTTTTTGAGCTCCCCTTGAGTTTCCACCAGGAGACCACCCAGTGTCTGAATACATGCATCCAGATGTGCGAGCCGCTCTTTGTGATTCATAAGAAGATCTTTGACCTTGTTCATCCGCTGACTCGATTGTTGGTATTGCTGTCCGCACAATACGCGTGCCGTACTTAGTTCATTCTGCAACCTTTCATTGTTAGTCTTGAGTTTGGCGTCGATAGTGTCCACAAGACCAGCGCGCGCAAACTGACAGAGATCGCTCAGCGTCTTCGAGATATGCTCGCCTTGTGCCTGTAATTGGTTAACATTATGGGCAAGTTGTACTTGTCTCGTGTCTTGGGCAATCTTGTCCGTCAGTGTCTGTGTTTGTAGTCCACTAAGCATTTCCGCCAAAGCCTGAATTTTAGAAATGGCTTGGGTAGTTTGCTCACCCATGGCTTGAAGTCGAGTTGTTGAAGCTTGCTCTGCACTTTCAAGTTGCACGATAGAGTTCCGAGCCGCTGTCTGCTTGCGCGCAAGATCCAACAGGTTCACGTTGAGTTCTGCCATTTGCTTTTGACGGTGACGGTCTCCATTCACGTAGTTGCTGAGCGATTCAAGCTGATCCGTCATTTTCAAGATACGCAAAGCTGCAGTCTCCAGAGATGCCTTCTGACCGGTCGCTTCAGGATTGAAAACTCGGTTAAACTCTTCGATTCCTACCTTGGCATTTACTTGGTTCTCCACATGTCCAGCAAAAGTGGCAAAGAGATCTCGGGCATGCTGCTCCAACGCAACGCGAAGCTTGTTCAAGTCCCACACATTGGCGTCGAAAACTGACACGTCCAGCTTGGTGCTCTGTAGTGTGGCAAGCGACGAAAGATCTGCTTTCTGGGCCAAGAGTGTTGCCATCTCCGATCGCATGGTGTCCATCTGAGCGTCCACATGAGCCAGAGAAACTTTCGTGGATAATGCAGCGTCTAGCTGAGCTCTCGTCACAAATGACGCTAGCAACTCCGCTGTTCGCGCTCGTTCTTCTTGAGCGACGCGCCCGATAGCTCGTAGGTCGTGCACCTGCAGCTTTAGTCGTTCTACTTCAGCTAACAAGTAGCGACTATCTGCGCATCGAAAACATGAGTTGCTACAGGGAAAGACAAATTCGATCGGGGATGCTCACCTGCAACACCCACGTGAACTTCAGCCATTCTTGACGAGTCAAGCAACTCTGTATAATTAGCGTAGACAAGTTATTACGGTAATACATGTATCCTGTAATCTTTTTAGATTAAAATCAATAAACTTTTCTTTTCTACTGGTGCAACCTTCGCGATACTTTCGTGCGACTATTTCGGTGGTACCTCTTATCAGAGGGCAAAAAGCAAAATACTTTTCAGTGAGGGGGCGCTTTCGGGCGGGCAGTGTTTTCCTCTTTCTCCGCGGCGCGTACGTGGCCTTCTGCCTCGAATCCAGGCCACGCCACTGGGCCGTCTCGTCCACAGCTAGACGCCTTCTGCTTCTCATTCCTTAACTTGCCCGATTCTCTCGCTGACGCTCATGGACTATGAATTGGTAAGCTCTCCTCCCACGTCATTATTGAATCGCAATTCAAATTTCCGAGTCTGGAGTGGTTCTAATTTTTTCAACATGTCGTAGGATAACGAGGGGCTCATGACCAAGGAGTCTGAGCTCGTAAATGGCCCGACCTTCGAGGACTTAGCCATCGATGACAGCCTGACCGACCTACAGCGCGTCACCAAGTACGTGTGCAGCAATATCCCGCTACAGCGCGTCATCCACGTCAAAATGCTGCACGAAACGGCACGATCTGTGGGTTTCCAGGCTACGTGCGATCAACTGCTGCCGCTGCTGGAGCCTCTGGTCTGCGACGTCGAATACGTCGTTCGCCAGCACGTGGCGCTGCAGTTTCCGCCGCTCTGTCAGTTCTTACTGGAAGCGGACCCCGACACAGGCTACAGAGTATTGCTAGAGAAGCTGATCCCCCTGGTCACTAAGCTCGTGTCAGACGATCAGCACGAGGTACGTTCGGCTGCGAGTGAGAGCCTCGTGGAGATGGCGGCGCTGGTTAAGCTCGAAGACCAGGGACAACACGTGCTGACGATTGTGCTACCGTTGGCACATGACGACGACAATGAGCAGTTCAGAATTTCCGCCGTTGCGCTTTACAATGGATTGGCGGAACATTTCGGGCCCGAATTGTGTCAGCAGTTTTGCGTGCCGGAGCTAATTTCTCTGTCGGAAGACCCAGTTTTTCGAGTGCGAAAATCCACAGCTTTGAGCTTTTCGAATGTTTGTAAGACGGCAGGAGTGGAGCTGAGTCGGGAGAGGCTGATCCCGGCGTTTCACCGACTTTCGAAAGACGATATATGGGGAGTGCGCAAAGCTTGTGCCGAGTGTTTGGTCAATGTTGCGCTGGCACTGGCGCCTGCGGACAGAGGGCCCATGCTGATACCTTTATTTGAGAGTTTTATCAATGACTCGTCACGGTGGGTGCGTATGGCTGCGTACCAGAGTTTAGGACCGTTTCTGGCTGCATTGGAAAAGAATCAGGTTACAGATGAACTGGTGGGCCACTTTACGAGCATGGCAACGACCGCGGCATCGCAACTGGGTGGAAGCGGCGAAGTGGACATTAAATTCCATTGTGCATTTAATTTTCCGGCGGTAGTAAGTATTCTGGGTCCAGCAGATTGGCTGAAACTCTCCCCAGCTTTCGAGCTGCTGCACAATGACACGTTTTGGAAAATTCGGCGGTCATTTGCGTACTCATTGCACGCGTTGGCGCGGATTCTTGGACAGGGGATAACAGAAACTCAGCTGGCTACAGCGTTCGACAGTTATCTTCATGACGTGCAGGACGTGCGCCTAGGCGTGATGCTGCACTTCGCCGACTTTTTGGAGAATGTGTCGCCATCGTTTCGTGAAAGTTATTTACCGGTGCTCGCAGAGTTTGACTCCTTCGACAACACCACGAAATGGCGCTTCCGTGAAGTGCTGAGTGGCCAACTATCACAGTTGTGCCACACTTTCACACCAGAGGCGACCTTCTCAGTGATTTATCCCTTGGTATTCAAGCTTATCACAGACCCCGTCTCTGCTGTCCGAGAACAGAGCTATCATGTACGTGGCCAACTATTTTTTTTCTAGCATAGTGATGAAATTGTGGCACGCTAACACGTTTCTCTGGGCGAAATCCAGGCATGTCCTCTACTAGTGGCACGTCTAAGCTCTAACTCCGAATGGCTCACTGCCGTTATCGACAATTTCGTTACTCTCGCAAGGTCTTCACACTATCAAGACAGACAGTGCTTTGTAAAGATTTGTGCGTCATTTCTCTCGACCACTTCTGGACAAGACGAGGATGCAGATGAACGTCGTGATAAAGCAAACGCTGACGCAGCACGCAGCTTTTTTTCAGCTAAGCTTGCCGCGGTATTTTTTACGCTAGCACTGGATCCAGTATCGAATGTCCGGGTGGTATTTTCCGAGACTGCAATCAAACATCAACGATTGTGCCGAAAACACCCCGACTGTCCGGGGTCCTTGCGAGATATTCTTACAGCAACGGCGTTCAGCTGCGTCGACGAACTCGCTGATGTTCTGTCCGGACGAATGAAAGTGCGACTCGCAGCACAGGCGAACCTTGACTCAGAAAAGAGGAGTAAGGAGGCAGAAAAAGTATCGGCCAGCATCATAGATGTTGAAAAAGAAAACGAGAGCAGCCTCGAACCAAATTCGAAGATCCTTGAGGCAACAGCACCTAATGGCAAGGCGGGAATATCCGAGGTCCCTGAAGGTCTTGTTGCTTTAAGGGGTGCAGTAGCGGAGCAGGCTGCGCTTCCACCGACCCAGTCATTAGCCGCTTTACGAATAGAAGGGGGAGACGTCGCGGAGCTTGCATCGTCGGTACTCCAAGACGCAGAGGACGCTACTGTGGCTGCTCCAGTGGAGACTACAGTGGCAACGTCCGAGTCAATAGTATCGCCAGCCGACGAATCTAGCTCATCTACGGTATCCTCGCCGGAAGCTCAATCCTCCAAAACCAATGGAGAGGTGTCAAGTCCCGCAAGCACACATCCAACAGGAGAGTCCACTTCATTGGCCGAAGAGTCTGCTACGTACATCGCAGGGAAGATTGATTAATGGATAGACGAAACTAACAGTTAGAAGTAGCGGGTAACTCGGCAAACAACAGACGCCACCATGTGAGTATATCGCGTTTTCGAGGCATGAAATCTCAAGGTGATGATTTTTTTTCAACTTTGGGATGAAATACTACATGTATTAATACATGCACATGTAGAAGTACTTCAAAAGTACTACAGTCTACTTCAGAAGTTTTTTTAGTTCAAAACTGAGCTATCCGCGAAGCCCTGGTTTCGCGTTTACTTGTATGAAAGACGCACATACATGCGAACGGAGCTGTAAGCTGCGCATCTATATTGGAGAACAGAGGCTCGCACCATGAATCTGTAGTCTTCTGCTCTTTTTCCGGCATTGCCGCTGCGCTAATGCTGCATTGGAAATGCATGAAGATGCACCTAGAGGCGCACACTAATGCTATCGGTGTGAAGTTGTGCCTTGACGTCTTGGATGGCCACCTCCTTACGGTGGAAGATACCAGCTGCGAGGGCAGCGTCGCAGTTTGTCTTCTCAAAGACTTCGGTAAAATGCTGCGGTTTACCGGCGCCACTGGACGCAATGACGGGAATGCGCACCGATTTCTTCACAATTGAGATCAAATCCAGATCATAACCGATCTTCTGGCCATCCATGTCCACGCAATTGAGCAAAAGTTCACCGGCGCCGAGGGCTTCAACTGCTTGGGCCAGTTGCACCACGTCGATGTCGCGGGTCTCACGGCCACCACGAACCGTCATCTGATACCAACAGTACTCCTCACCGTTCGGTCCTGGTTGCGACAGCTTGACGACGTTGTGGCCCTTGGCGTTCTCATCGTAGAACGATGCCACATACACCCGCTTCGGATCCATAGACACCACTACGGCCTGATTGCCGTACACAGCAGAAATGGTCTCGATCGAGCTGGTACCGTCACCCTTGCCCCCATTCGCGTAGTATTTCTCAGCCGTGTACACGGCATCACTACCGATGGAAACTTTGTCAGCACCCGAGCGGAAGTACAGTGCAGCCACATCCAACGCAGAGTGGGTTTTCTGTTGGTCGTCCACGTAGTCGCGGATACCACCACCAATCGTGAGCGGCACGAACACACACTCGGAGCTGGCCTCTAGCACCTGCACCATCGGCAAGTCGCCCATCGGCTGTTCGCGAAAGCTCGTAATGTTGAGGAACGCTACCTCATCCGCACCCTCTTCGAAGTAGCGCTTACACAGATCCACCGGTTTGCCCATGTTGCGAACGGTTCCTCCTTTAGCACTATCGGAGGTCTCGCGAACGTCGTACTGGTCCCCTTTAGTCACCACGAGGTCTCCTTGGTCGTTGGCACGCACATCCAGACACCTATAACATAAATCTTGTCTAAGTCTCCGCTTAAAGCACAAAAATATCAAAAAACAATTCACGTACGCAATGATGCGCTTAGAGAGCGTCGTCCGTGGTGCCGTCAGTGCCGTGGGGATCGGAGCATCGTGGTCTGCGAGGTCCTTGTTCTCCAAGAATCCCTTCAGAATAGCAATACCGATCGCTCCACTCTTTTCAGGGTGAAACTGCGTGGCCATGACGTTGCCCTTCTGCACAGCACTGACGAATTCTAAGTCTCCATAGTTGGTAGTGGAAAGCACCCACTCGGCGTTCTTTTCCGTCTTGGTGGCGCGGAACGAGTGCACGAAGTACACCTTGGCCTCCACTGTGCTAACAGGCAGGGAAGAAAACAGTGCCGACTTCTTCCAGGCGTTGATACCGTTCCAGCCAATGTGCGGCACCGTCACCTGCTCAGACGGAAATCGAGCCACTTTGCCCTTGATGACGCCCAGACCCTTGAGCTCGGGGCACTCCTCCGATCCCTCAAATAGCGTCTGCATACCCAAGCAGATACCCATGAAGCGACGGTCTGCAGTAACGTAGTTCTTGAGCTCTTCCACGTAGCCGCTGGCGTTAAGGAATTCCATGGCCGCTCGGAAGTTGCCCACGCCCGGGAAGATGAGGACATCGGCGTTGCGGATATCTCCAGCGCAGGTTACGTCCTTCACCGAATGGCCCGCTGCGCGGATAGCATTCTTCAGGCTGCGCACGTTACCAGCACCGTAGTCCAGCACCGTCACCTCCACCATCGCTTCGCTCGTTCTGTTCAGGCGGCGCAACGAGTAGTGTGGCGCACAGCGATCCGTTCTACTCAGACCGATACCGGACCGGTATTACCGGTTAATTTTTCTCTGGATACAGTGTAGAAATGTGGGTAGCTTAGGTTGCTTCTCGATGGCTAGATGATGGTGTACTAAGTACACTGTACTTCTTATGACAAATGAAACGGCTGAGATTAAGTAGAATAAAAATAAATGAAGATAATCTAACCTAGCCCTTTATGACAAATGCTTTGATTTCATTGGCTTAGCAGTTATTCTCGGATTATCTTTATTCTGACATTCAAGTCAAAATAACTTTAATCCCGGGAATAAAATTGCACAAGCTGATACCTATCGGTGGCCAGCCACGGGCCATGGCTGTAGGCGTACGCTGGCATCAATCGCTCGAGTAGACGTGCGAGGCGACGTTTGGTGTAGGTTGGGAGCGTTGAATGCTTAAACAACAGACAAACGAAGCAAACATGACCTACATTTCCTCGGGTGGCGATGCGCCCAAGGCATTCGAATTTGTACCGCCCTGTCCGCGGACTTTTCGTAGATGGCGACGATTCAACACGTTCTTAATCAATTTACACCCGTAGGAAAGCGATGGATGCAGTGTGGTGCGCACCGATATCCCAGATGAGGCTGAAGCGAGCGCGCAGCACGCTCCATTAGCGGCACGTAGTACATGTAGCTCTTCGGAAGGGGAATCGTTTACCTTCAAAAGTTGATATCACTTTTCCACGAGATCAACTTATTCCAAATCTGTTTCGTTTGATTCGCTATTCCTGCGAAGTTATTCCGCTACTTGTTCTCAAATGAAACAGCCCCTTAACAAAGGTAACCCATAACTATAGTTTTACGGTACACACATTAATGATCAATTTGCATGTTATACCTAAGGTCGTTCTACCATGAACAGTATCTGCATCGACAGCACTAGACTCAATAACTTCACCTACTGCATGTAGCACAACTTCTGAAGGCGTCAAGTACTGTAGCACAAGCCTAGTTTCTCTCGTAATTTAATAGTTAGTTTTATCACCAGAGATCCAAGGTCCGAATTGTACGCCTAGTGTACGAAAACACACTCACAATGCCCACATTTTAAAGCACCGCGGTTTTGGTGGTGCCGAAAAGGCAGCTACAGTACCTCCACTCACTTGTGGAATTCTCTAAGCTTACCGGATTCACAACCAGTTTCGTCTTGTTTACTCTATAAAGACCACTTTTTAGCATCAAGATTTGTGATTGTAGCTGTATCTGGTTGCATACAAAAGCTAAGTGAATGAATAATTTGCTAACATCCCAGAATCTGAATAACTGAGGTTATACGGTACCTCCTATGTTCCTGTATTTCACTCCTCCTCTTTTGTCATTTAGTAATCATTACACCCTTCGACAAAGGAATGTCGGTACCGGTAGACTGCTATTGTAATAATACCAAAGACACTTATCCTGCTTTTATAATAATACCAAAAACACCTACCTAGCTGCTACAAGAAGATCCCTCCGCCGTCAGCCTAGAACAAGGCATACAAAAGTATACAGGAGCTTATACAGTAATGGGCCTCGCAACGTGTTCGCCGTGAAAGTGCCGCTCGCACACTGTGGGAGGTGCATTGCGGAGTGGGGTGGAATCGGCTCTGCTGTGTCCGGTCTATGGGTTTTCCTGCAAAGAAGTCCATTCCTCTTGCGGGTTTCGATCGAGCAACGTTCACAAAAGAACGTTGTTGCGAAAGATTTTTTCTTGTTCGTACGTAAGAGCGCACAGACCTTGCAGGAGATTTGACGGCGCTACCGGGCTTCACTAACTACTACTTAGTCCTCCGTTGCTACAGCGCGTGGGTGAGACGGACCGGTGCTCGATTACGTTTCTGGTTGGGTGGAAGCGGTGTTGCTTCCACTTCGGCAAAGTCTTCTCCCTTCAGCTGTAAAAGTTGGTTCTGAAGCACGCAAAACAACTACAAGCGCCTCATAGCTACTGTCTTTTTTAACTTAGCAGCCTTTTTATGCGAAAGGTATGCATTCACCATGGCCAGGTCCAGGAAGCCAACAAACAGGCTCTTATAGTACTTCTTGAACTTAGTCGAGGTCTGAAGCGATATAGACTGGAGGCGGAATCGATCATGGCGATCTACCTCGCCCATCCAGTTCCGGTAGTCACTCACAGCGGACGGACATGGCAGCACTTGAATCGCTCCAGTCCTCTTTATCTTCCCCTCAATCGTTGACGCCGTCATCACGGAGCCAGTGCACAGATAGTAAACGGGCTTTCAAATATATGTGATCATGTGCGGGGTGGCAATATAGCGAGAAGAAGAACATGTACCACCTGGGATCCTCGCTTGACGCGTCTTGCTCGGTGATTTTGATATTCTTGTCGATACCAAGTTGCCTCGTCATCACAGTGCCAACCACATAAACCTTCATGCCTAGGAGCTCCACTGCAAGCAGCACCGACGAGTAGTAGCGGCCGTATGCCACGTATGGTGAGAATGAACATCGAGAAAGACTTTCAAATTTCGCACCACTGCTGCAGCGCCAGTCCTAAAGTCAGCTACAGCCTTAGTACTATCGGGCGTGGACCGCCGACCCACGTAAATGTCGAATCTAGAATGTTATGATATTCGATACTGTTAGACATAATCAAAGCCTGAAGTTACGACATAACATTCATTAAAACAATGCATATTTGGCAATACGCGGTCTTCGCATCACACATCATAAACAGTTTTGAGCCGTAGCGGTGGGACTTGTAAGACATAACATACGGGGCGTGCTACGTTTTGACGTGGCGGGAAGGACGCCCTCATCAAACGAGAAGACGACAGGAGGTGTCCAGCCTGAGAAAAAGGGCTGCTGGACTCTGTCGACGTTAGAACGCAGCTTCCATAGCCTGTCTTGGGGGTGGTCTGCGGTGTTGTTAACAAAGTGTAAATCTCGCATGATGTTCTGGCACCTGTCGCGGGTCATGTATCGCCCGGAACTCCCGGCCGGTATGACGCCGCCCTCCACCATGGACCAGTGTGCGGAAAAGCGCCTCTTCTGGGGACACTGCATATGCGCAACAAGAAGCCCAACAACATGCAGAATTGCGCGGGTGGTGGACGCCTGTTGTGCCTTCAACCGTCGCGCAATTTTCTTGACCGTCTCGCGGCGCCCCTCGCTCTGTCGCAAATGAATCGCTCTGGCGCGCTTACTCACTTGCTGGGGGCCGTTAAGATTTGTCTCGGCGGCGATCATAACCCACGGTGACTTAGGCATGAAGTAGAACAGCGTGAGAATCGGCGATCGCCACACGTGAAGCAGCCCTTGCCTCTTCCGATCCCAGTCCAGGATATGCTGGGGTATCGGTCTCGTACTCCAATGAAGCAGGTGTTCATCTCATTGGCCGTATTGCCTCCTCTCGGATTTGGATGGCTGCCCGGCTAAGTGCGTTGTTTCCAGCCTGTAATGGCGTAAGAAACGCCTTGTCCATCTCAACCGCGTCACTATCCGACAGCACATCGTCATCCTCGTCCAGCTCATCGCAACCAGGATCACTGCCATCGTCGCAACTTCCATCATCAGCACTCGCGCTCGAGCTGAGGTTTTCGTAGTCACCGCTATCCTCCCCATCTATCACGATATTGACGTCGTCTTTGACTTGCATCGGGGTTCTTCGTAGAGGGCAGGAGCTATTGCTTGTTCGTCGTTAAGTTCGCCCTCGCTCTCTATTCCAAAAGCATCTGAGAGTAAATGCAAGCCGGATTGCTCTTCATCATCAACTAGTAGGTCGCCTTGAGAGAGACCGAACGTTTTCATAACTGCTGCCTGCGACAACTCGATATCATCATCACTTGGAGGTCCGAACAACTGATCCATGATATTCTGTGAAAGGTGTACGCTCGTGTCAATCTGGGAAGGTTGAGCGTCGCTATCTGTCTCGTGTTGCTCGCCACCACTAGCGAACCCTTCTTGGTAAAGTTCTTCATCGTCTTCTACACGGACTTGGTCGTCAGCTCCTTCCTCTTCTAACAACCCAGTGTCGAACGCGTAGTCCACGACTGCACTCTCCCCCACGAACACATGCGCATTGTCAGGACTCGAGTAGCTCCTCTCAGTCTGGAGACCGCTCGGACGCTTGGACTTCCACCCCGCCGCCATAAGTGACCGAATCAATATCGTGTGCAGCCGGCACTGCGGTCTTTAGGCGACTCCTCCGTATGCGCGCCATCCAGCAAAATGTCGAATGAGCGGCTCTCGTGTGTCCTTAGGTTGATCCCCTTCCCCTGTTCTGGTTTTGTTTTGAAGCAAAATGTCATCTCGCAAATTTTATTTTGTTGTTGAGCTGGTTAAAGTATTGAAAAAGCTCTTCTGAGCCATTTGCTAATGAACTTCTTTCCATGTCGTATATTACGACATAACAAAATTAGTATGTCGTATTATACGACGTTCGGGTCCAAGGTGTTAGTATTGTGAGAATAATACCTGACCAGTTAATATAAAATATTACCTAACAGAGACAAAATTATATTATTAAATATTCACTTATAATTCATTTAAACGATATTTTATTTTTAAAAGATTGCGTAATCGGAATAAATCCACTAATCATATGTCACTAAGCTGAAGTATTACTAATCAACAGTGAGGGAAATGGATTCCGGGACAGGACGGCAGGGTTGGTGTGGTGCATTGGCACTGCTGAGCGCATCAATCTAGCGTCACATGTTGCAGGTTAATGAGACGCACGATGTGGACGAAGCTATCGGCAGAGAACAACAACAAATACCTTGATTTCGCTCTATCGACTTCAAACAACTGCAACCGTTTGCAGTTTTCCATCTTGATCGGCTTTGTGTCACAGTGAAATACATGTACAAAAGCAGATACTCGTCAGTTTAAAGCCTGTCATCACTACTGCTGTTTTAGAACCTGACTGAAAGAGTTCTTTGGTGAGCCCTCTGTTCACGTATGGTGGCAAGAAACGTACTTAACTGGGAAATATCACAAAATATTATCTAATACCTAAACTTTTTTCAAATCTCTAAGTTTATAATTTTAATATTTATATTATATATACTAGAATATTTTGAAAAACTGAGTTATTATTGATTTTTTTATCGAAAATAGTACTATTACTTTACAAAATAGCATTTCATATTTGGTTATCATTAGCCCCCAATCACATAAGGAATACGGTAATTGGCTTGAATGTCACGGTCACTTAAGTACGATATGGGCTGCTTTAAAATAGCAGAAATTTTGAAAGCAAGTAATTCATTGAATAGGACAAAAACGGCAAATTTGGTCGCAATTCCACAATAAGAGCATCTCCATGAGTACAATTGTGAGCAAACATATTCCGGATCAAATATATAAAATTGTTTCGACAAGTTTACCAGTATCATCACTGAATTTCGTACGACGTTACATTTTCCGTCTTTTATACCGGTATACTTCACTCTACGCTTACGTGCTCACAGCAACTAACACCGAACATTGAATGAACAAAGAAACTCAAAAGCCGAGCAGCGTAGCTTGACATCGTGATGACAAAGTTCGATCCTTCGTCACTCGGCAAACCACTGAAGCAGTTGCATCGGAGAAATTCACCTTGATTACACGGTTGCAACTGGCGTGTGGATAGCGTTGGAGTACTCAACCTCTCCAGCTTCTCCTGCAGCAGGCGTGGGAATGGTGTTGGCGTAGGCTTCTTCAACCTTCACCGCAGCAGGCGTAAGCATACCGTTAGAGTAGTTCGTCTCGCCGTCTTCAGCAGCAGCTCCCTTGCGCTTTCTAACGATCACAGCGGCTGCCACAATACCGAGCACTCCAACCAAACACCCAACGACCACAATGGGCACAGTTGCGCTGCTATTCGCATCATTGTTGGAGCTCTTCTCTGTTTCGTAATCTGCACGGGTGGTGGCGTACGCCACACCAACAGTACCCTCACTTGAGTATGCCACGCCGACAATTCCAGGGGTTGAGCCGGACGAACGATCTTCCGGATGCGTCGTGTCAGTACTCTCCATCGGGGCTGTCGTGGGGTATGTCCCAGCTGGATCACTATATTTAGTCGGTGCCGGCGTCGGTACGTTAGTGAACGACGTGAGGGGGGCAATTTCTGTTTTATCGTCCTGAGCCGAAGCCGAGAGCAGAATGGCGTTCTGCGGATTTCCAGCTTGGGTAGCACTGGCGATGATCATAGAGGTCGCGATGAAGACAGTGAACTTCATGGTTCTTGAATTGGGTCTGCGCGCTTGAAGGTAAAGTGCAAAGTGATTGAGCTGCGAGGAGGAGCATCGCGCGAATAGATCCTGGTGGCAGACGTTGCTGTCACATTGCAGGTAGAATCTTTAGGCTGCTACGCTTTACACTGTAGAGGCCGGCACGCTCGCAGCATCCGAAAGTCTGTCATGGCGTATCTATCGGTTGACCACCGTATAAGAAACCATTACTGTACTGATGGCCATGTGCGTGTAAAATACGAGCCGTACGTATTTATGGATACCGGTATATGGCTGCTATCAATACCGGAGAGGATCGTCTGTAGATTAACTTTAGGAGCCCAGGATTAATAGTCTCACTTGGAGTAGCCAATCATCAAGCTCTATTTAGGGACTCCAGACCCTTTTATTTGGTAAAGATATCAATACAGAGAGGGTCGTCTGTAGAGTCCACGAAATACCGATGTTGGGCTCGGCCCATGCTCTACCCATGCTTTCCATAAATACGTACAGTAGTACTGTCATGTGGTGCTGCCTTCTGGACCCAACTGTAGTACTTAAAAGTAAAAGTAAAGTACGGTACAAGTAAAAAAAAACTGCCGGAATCGGAGCGATTCCGGTAGTCTATTGAAGCCTACTTCCGTTAGCCTTTTTCTATGATTTTAAGGTCTTTGACTTGGAGTTCGTCGGCGCCTCTTCCATATTTATTCCTCAAACTTAAAAAAGGACAGATCTGGGATTCTAAACTTGCTGCGGAAATGCTACACTGGACCAATAACGTTATAGCTACTATTCGTAGTACAAATATTACTTTTTGGGGTCAATTTGAGATTTTCGACTCCCCCTAATAGGTCGTGTTGATTTGTGCTGTGCAAAGCTTTTGTCGTTTATCAGTAGGGTGGGTGCTCGATTTTTAATAAATCGAGGTCATTTTATATATCGAGGTTATAATAAGATCGAGTTAGAGTGGCTACACTGTAATAAATCCAGCTAGCGCTAGCTAAATCAAGCGCTCGTGGTCGATTTACGACAAATCGACATCGATATCATTTAGAACGACCCTTCTTGCGTTTTTGAAATGCAAGTCGAGTGCAGATATAAAAATGCCAGGCATGCATTTCCTCTCTCAGTTTTACGCCTGTTTTTATGCGCCAACCCTGCTCGATCTAGGCCATAAAACCGAGCGACATTTCATCTGCAAAGCACAATATGTCAGCTATTACTGTTAAATCCTTATCTACATGTATTAATAAATGATGCTTACGAATCTATCAGCTACTGATCTGTAGTAACCTTGAATGCAATGTAATTTTTCAACTAGGTGAGGTATTATTTATTACACTATCGATATCCTTTTAAACTAGCAGGCATTTTTGTTCAGAAATCATTCTTATACATGTAGTCGTCTCAATGCTTGGTCAATCAATGCGTTTTCGATACGTTCTTGATAGCACCGAAGGCTGCCGGCAACGTTACCAATGAGGAACTGGGCGACCGAGCGAACGTGGCGGGAGTCGAATACGACGCCAGGATCATAGTCGAAAGAAATTCGCACGTAAAGCTGTAAGAGCGATAGATCGTGCTCTTCCGTTGAAAAACGCTTGGTCAAAGCATACTCTCGCGCGTGGTAAACCAGTCCATCAATTGGTTTGTGCTTGATTTCAACAGGAGTCACGCTTGAAACGAAAAGAATCATGTCTCGATCCACACCTACGACACGCTGCACGATCTGCTTCGCCTTCACATCCGCCCGTGAATTGTTCGAGAACATTTCCTTTGTAAAGTCTTCGATTATGGTATAAGGCTGATCTAGGTTCTGGGCAAAGCAGACACAGAACACAGATACAGAACTGTCAGTAGGAAGAACGCTACAGTGGATGCCGAATGGTGTCGCAGCCATACTTACCTTTGCTGCCTTCTCATACAAGCCTCCATTGCCGAAGTGCTTTTCAACGCCCTTAAAATGGTCCCACGCAGCCTCTCCACTTTTGTGCAGGCTGAAAGGTAATAATTTGTTTGCAAAAACTTCGATGTACTTGCCGTCTACACCTTCTCTGACATGAACATCGTTAGCAGGAAAGTCCATCGTTGAAAGTCCGCTCGCAGCAAAGACTGAGTCGATTTCATGGTATGCGATCTGAAGGTGCTGGAATAGGTCATGGAAATCCCCAATGTCACCTTGGAAGTCCAGCACGCACGCAGTCCGTTGTTCAGTAGTGTGTGATCCTTTCCCACGCAAGCATTCCGCTCCCTGCAACGCCGAAGTCCAAGTTGGTTAACATCCTTTCTCGTCTTCTCAAGTAACAATTCTTACCTGCTGTGTAAGTCGTTTCCGCAGTAGCGCACTCAGCCCCGTCGCCATCTTTCGTTTACGTTCGACAATAAGCCTCAACCGCACATTTTCGCGCTGAGCTCCCTCTCGCCGTCGTTGCTGTCGAGCTGCCATCTCTTTCCAGACTAGCGGCACTTGCATTAATGGCCTCGGTAGCGACGCCTTCGCATTCACTTTTCCAGTCGATGTTGTCTTTAGATGCATTTTGTTTAATTGCAGCTCCAGCTCCGCCACCTTTTGCCGAAGGAAAGCCAATTCATATTGAACCTCGTCACGAACTCGGTTCGGGTTGGCTGGGACCTTCTTGGTCTTTGTAGCGTTTGGTTGAGTCATGATCTCATGACATCGTGGTAAACTCGGCCGAAATTCGGAGGCGATTGCCCCGCTGATAAGGGTTTTCATGTTAAGCGGCACCATCGTCGCTGCTTCTCGACAGTCAATGGAGAAGGACGGGCCCCCAATTAAGACCGCGCGATATTGCTCGCTCTTGAATGACGGCAGCTCCAACGCTGCTGGGGGTGTTAAACCCCTCGTACAGGGGCCAGGACAGTCAACTGAGCATTCGTCTACAAAGCTTAGCGCCGCTTCGAAGACACCCGTGTTGTCTTCTTCTTGCAGGAACGCCATCACTAGTGGTTGCGGTCAAGTGGTAAATTGCGCGTTAAACAAATCATAAAATGATGTGCAAATTAGGCTCAAAAAATGGGTGCGAGTCAAAATAGGCAGTTTTACTTTGCTACGACAATTAACGATTACAGAACTCCCCCTCAATAAGCGTAAGGGGCGTCTGATAAATTTGCATAGGGAATTCTCTGCGCACTTCTGATTTGTTAAATTCATCCACAATTCATGTGATCCGATATAAAAGGTATATGAAGTCCTATCTACGCTTATTCAGGGGCACTTCTGCAGGGGCTCCAAATATCATAATATGATAAAATACCATAAAATGGTAAATATCAGTAGTAGCTCAGTTTTTCAAAAGCTAACAGAATTTATTAATATTAACTTAGAAATTTGAAAAATATTAGATATTAGATGATATTTTATGATATTTTCCCACTTAAGTATGTTTCTTACCACCTTACCCTCTGTGAACCGACGGTCACCAAAGAACTCTAAAGCAGCAGTAGTGACTTTAAAACTGACGAGTATTTGCTCTAGTATTTCAGTGTGACACAGACAAAGCCGATCGAGATGGAAAACTGCAAACGGTTGCAGCTGTTTGAAGTCGATAGAGCGAAATCAAGATATTCGTTCTTGTTATCGATAGCATCGTCAAGATCGTGCGTCTCACAAATCTGCAGCCTGTGACGCTAGATTAATGCGCTCGGCAGTGCCAACACACCACACCAACCTTGCCGTCACTCTCACAACTGTCCCGTGTCGCGAGTCGCCCTGGAGCGGGACGCTTGCGCTGATCAACGGTAGCGAGCTTTAGACGTGCGGGGCAAAAAGTAGTGATATAAGTAGACACAAGTAGCAATATTAATAATATAAAGCCAAATGTATAATTTCAACTCGGAGTTTCCAGGCAAAATTCACGACTGACCAAACTCACCTCGCCAACAATGTCACCCGAACTGTAGTTCTAATCAGTCGAACCGCACGTCAGCACGTCCTCGGGTACACTGTTGCCGGTGACGTCCCTCCCTTCGTTTCAATGTCCTTCGCATACATTGCAGTATTGCCATAGTCCGTGTCGTCCGTCTTAGGGGCCTTGTCCATCGCTGTGACGACAGGCAGTACCTCGGCCATAGCTGCATCTTAGGCGATGTACTCAACTGGTAGAGTTGCCCCCCCCCCCCTCCACACTTCACGTAGATGCGACGGGGTCAGGCCCCCAATTCGGGCAACGGAATCCGACAATGTCAGAGCTGATTCGGGTGACCCGACGGCCGCTCATCCTCTTGCCGTGCGACTTGAAGTGGCTGGTTGCAGCTCACTCCAAAGGGGGAACGGGAACCGTGCCTAAGACGGTTGCCACCGTTCTCACTCGGGACATCCTCCCCGACTGAATCTCGACGCCCTCGTCGAGCTCGTCTAACAAGGCCTTTCCTCTCCGAATCCCTCATGGCTCGCAAAGCCCGTCGTTCAGCTTGTATCCCACTCAACGTGCGTACTTGTTGTCAAGGATTCTCCACCGAACCTCCATCCGCTCACCAGAATGCTTTGCTAAGACAGTCAGCTTACTCTCATTCCTCCATGTCACGGATCCAACCGTCGTAGCAGTCCTGGTCCACAGCAAGCGGAGAATGCCCTTCCGACGTATACTCATACCAACGCCACAGATGGCACCACGCTTAGCACCGGGACGCACCCGTCGAGTAGTACAGCCCCACTGTTGACGATGACCCCACCAAACTCCACGACGCCCTCATTACTTGAAAACTTGAAATTCATCGTCATCGTTAAGCCCACTACCCCAGGCCACCCTAGACAAACACCTTCGACGATCTCGTACAGGAACAGTGCACCGTAGAAAGTAGCGTGGACGATCAGCGTCACCACGGCCCGCCAGACACGCACAACGAACCACGTACGAGCCCACGTTCTTTGGAGCTCAACACCTGAGCCGTACCAATACTTCACTGTCGTCTTCCACGCCAACGTCACCGCCTCAGGTAAGAACACGCACCAGTACACATGCAAGGCGGCCAACCACTTGTACAGTAGTCCCCCTAGACCGTCTAAGTGTTCTTTCCTCGCAGCGAGCACCATTATAGGAGTAGCCAGTACGGCTTCATAGGTTTTCCACCATTTCGTCCTCCAGAGCTGGTCCTGTACGGCAGGACTACGCACATAGCTGCGATAGCGCGTAATACAAAGTCTTAACCCTTTTGCTACCAAAACCAACGATAGCTGCATGTTTTGCAAAAGTAGGCGGCAAATCCTTCTTAAAATAAGCAAAACTTGTTGGTTTTATATAACACGTCATGTGGTATTTCTCTGGCTCGAAGGAACTGGCCCTTTTAATTATGGCCAATAGTGTAATGAAAAGGTTTCACCTTTGCTCAAAATGGTTCGACATATTTATCGTATTTTTTCCAATCAGCATCCAAGCCCAAAACGACGTTAAACACGCAGGAAGTGTTGGTTTTGTTTTGATGGCTAGTGAGCCGTTGTAATTCCCATTCAAAGTGATAGACGCGAGGGTGGTATATGTCGACAAAACCAGCAGATTAGAGAGCTTAAGCAGTTCAGAACGAAATTAAAATCTGAGAATTTCTGATAAATTTTGTTGTTTTTCGTTTCGTGTTATTGTCTGAGGACGACAAGTTGTGTTGCGCTCTAAACAACGAAACGGAATCAGTTGATAGCCAGTGTCAAATCTACGCCCTCCAAACGAGATGGAATCTGACAGCGACGACGACGTTCTCGAGTGTCGTCGCGTGGCAAGGGAGATGCTGGATGCCTCACGGATGAAACGACTACATGGTGACTGGGAGACCGCTTCCAGACTTCGATATCGGGGGCTGACGCTACTCTATGACTCAAAACCTCGGTTCTCATTACCAGGTGCTCGATTTGATATCAACGACGTCACCGACGACACATGCCTGACCTTCTATAGATTCACCCACCGACAACTATGACGTTTACAAGCTTCGTTTGAGTTACCGGACGTGATCCGGACAGGTTTGCACTCGCGTGCATGCTGTAGTGGGCTAGAGGGCCTCTGTATCACACTTCACCGTCTAGCGTACCCTACAAGATGGATGAATATGGCTACAATCTACGGAAGGTGGCCAAGTGCTCTAAGTAGTATTTTCTACTTTGTAATCGGATTGATTATTGAGAAGTGTGGTCAATTACTACTGAACTTGAAATATGCTAGTTCTAGACTGCAAACGGTTAGTGAAGCTATTTGCAACCAAGTAGGCGAGCTAGACTGTGTTTGGGGTTTCGTGGATGGGACTGTACGGGGTATTTGCCGACCGTCTTTACGCTTAGCACCAAGCGGTGGTGTAGCTATAACCTCAATCAGCAAGGCCTTGTCGCTGGAAGCGGTAAAGCGGGAGCGCTGTTCAAGTTCTACCACTTCTTCGTAGATTAGACCCTCATCTTCAGACGCATGCGGGTGCTGTGCATCTTCAACTTCTTCTGGGGCAGGTGAAGTTTCTTCTTGCCCAAGCTGGATAGATGCAGTGGCGCCATAGCCAAGCAGGTCGTCTTGGGATCTGTCGCTATCTTCCATTAAGATGCAGTCTGGGGGAAGTTTTTGATGTGATTTGATTCGTTTCGTACAGTAATTATTGCTTAAGCTGTCATTTGGAATATTCGAAACGAAAGTTCCCAACGAGAGTTTTGTCGTTGCGAAAACTTGTTTCGTATTGTAGCTTAAAGGCCCTATTGTGTTGATTTTATGAAAATGTTAGCTTTTTTATGGAGTGCAATTTACTTGACCTACTATAAAAAGCAAAAGATTTAACATCTTAGCCCACTTGTATATGAAGTAACCGCCCGAAAAGAAAAGTCGAAGGACCATACTTCTGAGAGGTTCGGTGACGGTCCAAGCCACGATACCACTCGCCACAGCGAACAACACCCACGCATGACTGAGGACCAGTCCCACTCCAAAACAACACGTCGACACGACAGCGTCTCGACTCCACGCCACACCATCTCTCGCATAATCCATCGCCAGTCTCGACAATCGAGAAATGGGTCCATCACATCCACGGCTCAACCGCTCTCCATCGTCACTAACCGTCAGTCCAATTCACTTGGCTGTACAGCAGCCAAGAGACCGTCCCTTGGTCAAGTCACATCACATCACCATCAAAACGGTGGCTTCTCGTCGTTAGCCACCATGTCCGCCATTATTACTGCAACTCCCTGTCGCGTCACAGGAGGCAGACCTCTTAAAAGGTAATTCCGCAAGTAGCACTCAAGCCCCCACGTAGCCATGACCAAGTCGTTGAAGAAGTCAGGGACGACCCCAACGGTCGAAGACCAACTCCGCTCTCGCCTCGACGACGAAGACAGGGGGCGGACGACGCCACCCCTCTGCACTTCATGATTGAGTTCTGGAGCCGCCTCCGAGCCGTTCTGGCTGCCAACAGCCACTCCGTCGGGCTCGACGCCCTTGACCGACTGGTCTTCCGGCTCCTTGCTGACGACACTTCGCAGGCCCCGTTGGAGAGCGCTGTCGTCATCCTACCTTCCCCAGAAAGCCTGTCCGCCGGCCAGGTCCGAGAGCACTCCGTCTTCCAAGCACCGGTCATTTCAAGCGATTTAGCTCGCGTACACCACTCCAGCCACCTCCAGCCAAGAAACAGCACACGTCCAAAAAGGCAAAAGTCAAGCCTCGCTTCTCGTTCGATCTCCCCCCCCAGCGTAGACGCCACCATCGAGCGCGACCTGGAGCGCCTCGTGAAGATCTCGGAGGGACAGGGTAAGACGCCGCCGCGTATGGCCTTTTCGTGGAAGGGCTACCGCGTCTGGTACGACCCCAAGCACCACCCCGAGCTCCACCGGAAGCACTGGCACTTCTGGATGCGTTTTCGTCTCCAGTGCCTACTCCTCGCGCTGTACCCGCCGACGGACAACGCTGCAGATCGCCGCAAATTGAAGGCAAGCGCGCTCCAAGCTCGTCTGCAGTTGTTGAGCGCCTTCTTCGAAGAGATGAGCTACTACGGGATGCTGGCCGCGTTCGAAGACACCGTCCACGACAATCTCATGTGGTTCGGAGGCAGGGCCGCCAAGCACGCTAGTGGAGCTAACGACGACTCCAAATCTCGTGCCCAAGAAGACCTCGGTGCCCTGTTCAAACGTCACCGCCGTCGGTACGATCAAGTTATCACCAACGCCCTCGATCCCTTCGACGTGGACAACAGCGGCTACCGTTCCATCCCTGAACTTCTCGAGACGAGTCAGGCGATAAACCCTACTCGCCCCAAGAACCTGCGACTTTCGGACAAGGCCCGGGCTCGCATCGCTCTAGACGTCTCAGGCAGCAACCCTCCGAAAGGAAGCTGGGTCGGAAACCGATCTTCTCTCCGACCGTTCTCTCCGTGTGACTCAAGTCGAAGTCGCCACGCTGCTGACTGCCAGCAAACCCGTGAAAGTGCACAACGATCGACCGTTCCAGGTGTCCGAACAAGGGGAAGACGATTCCGACTTCGAAGAAAACGGAGTGTTCACCGCCCTGAAACCGTCCCCGCCCGTCAAGTATCAGCCTTCAAGTTCTCTCACCAAGCATCTAGCGTACTACTTGGGACTCTCATCCGACGAAGAGGACCAGGATCAAGAAGAGAGCCACCCAGGCAGCGACCACGACGACGAAGAAGACAAGGAAAAGGTCCAAGAAGACACCAACTAAGACGCCGACGACCAAGATGACGAGAAAGACGACGAAGCGGCCGCTGAAAATCCTACTTCGACCGATAACGGAGCGGCATCCGACGCAGGCGACAAGTCGAGCAAGACCTCAAAGCCGTTGTCGACTTCTCCCGACTCTCAAACTCCCAAGTGACGAGGTTACCATTTTTGAGAGGAACGATCTCGTGTTTGTATTTTCAGCTCTCGTAAGTCCGATCGTTCCGTCCGTAACCAAAACAAAAATACTCACCAACACGCAAGGCCAACAACAAGAAGCGCGGGACCGGGATTGAACCAGTGCTGCAATCGAGCGCTCTACCACTGAGCTACTCGCGCGTCGAGCCATACCTGCTCCCTTGCCCAGTTAAAAAACCAAACGCGCACACACCTCACAAACCGAACGGCCACGTACCCATGCACACACTCTCCACCGACATCATGCACACCTCCAGACAGTTTACTTTCTATTACCCAACATGCACATCGTACTATGCACACTCACCCCTTCGAGTCCGATTCACTTCTCCTACTCCGACGCGCGATACAGACAAGCACATGGATGGCAGATGGACGGATGTCCAAGCGACTAAGCGTCTTGACCGCATCGCGACGCAAAGCCAACGAAGTCAACACTGACCGCTGGATCGACTGTCTGAGATTCCCCAATGAGCCAACAAAGGCTGCATCGAAAAGAAGATAGCCGTGTTCCAAACAAGCAGTATATCCGTTGCCAGCGTTGAGAAGCGTCTGCGCGATGGAAGCTGTAGAGTTCGCGGAAAACGGAGGCAAAAAGCGGCAAAGAGGCCCCACCCACAACAAGCTACGACGAGTCCAACAACAAGAAGCGCGGGACCGGGATTGAACCAGTGACCCTTCGAGCTGCAATCGAACGCTCTACCACTGAGCTACCCGCGCGTCGAACCTTACCTACCCCCTTGCCCAACTCAAAAAACAAACGCGCACACACCTCACAAACCGAACGGCCACGTACGCACGCACACACTCTCCACCGACATCATGCACACCTCCAGACAGTTTACTTTCTATTACCCAACATGCACATCGTACTATGCACACTCACCCCTTCGAGTCCGATTCACTTCTCCTACTCCGACGAGCGATACAGAGCTACCCGCGCGTCGAACCATACCTACCCCCTTGCCCAACTCAAAAAACAAACGCGCACACACCTCACAAACCGAACGGCCACGTACGCACGCACACACTCTCCACCGACATCATGCACACCTCCATACAAATTTTTTTCTAGTACGCAGCGTGAACATCGTACCATGCACACTCACCCCTTCGAGTCCGATTCACTTCTCCTACTCCGACGAGCGATTCAGACAGGCACATGGATGGCAGATGGACGGACGTCCAAGCGATTGAGCGTCTTGACCGCATCGCGACGCAAAGCCAACGAAGTCAACGCTGACCGCTGGATCGACTGTCTGAGATTCCCCAAGGAGCCAACAAAGGCTACATCGAAAAGAAGATAGCCGTGTTCCAAACAAGCAGTATATCCGTTGCTAGCGTTGGGAAGCGTCTGCGCGATGGAAGCTGTAGAGTTCGCGAAAAACGGAGGCAAGTAAAAAGCGGCAAAGAGGCCCCACAACAAGCTCCGACGAGTCCAACAACAAGAAGCGCGGGACCGGAATTGAACCAGTGACCCTTCGAGCTGCAATCGAACGCTCTACCACTGAGCTACCCGCGCGTCGAACCATACCTACCCCCTTGCCCAATTCAAAAAACAAACTCGCACACACCTCACAAACCGAATGGCCACGTACCCACGCACACACTCTCCACCGACATCATGCACACCTCCAGACAGTTTACTTTCTCTTACCCAACATGCACATCGTACTATGCACACTCACCCCTACAAGTCCGATTCACTTCTCCGACTCCGACGAGCGATACAGAGCTACCCGCGCGTCGAACCATACCTACCCCCTTGCCCATCTCAAAAAACAAACTCGCACACACCTCACAAACCGAACAGCCACGTACGCACACACACACACTCCACCGACATCATGCACACCTCCATACAAATTGTTTTCTAGTACGCAACGTGAACATCGTACCATGCACACTCACCCTTCGAGTCCGATTCACTTCTCCTACTCCGACGAGCGATACAGACAGGCACATGGATGGCAGATGGACGGACGTCCAAGCGATTGAGCACCTTGACCGCATCGCAACGCAGTCGCGACGCCAACAAAGTCAACGCTGACCGCTGGATCGACTGTCTGAGATTCCCCAAGGAGCCAACAAAGGCTACATCGAAAAGAAGATAGCCGTGTTCCAAACAAGCAGTATATCCGTTGCTAGCGTTGGGAAGCGTCTGCGCGATGGAAGCTGTAGAGTTCGCGAAAAACGGAGGCAAGTAAAAAGCGGCAAAGAGGCCCCACAACAAGCTCCGACGAGTCCAACAACAAGAAGCGCGGGACCGGAATTGAACCAGTGACCCTTCGAGCTGCAATCGAACGCTCTACCACTGAGCTACCCGCGCGTCCGAACCACTTCCTAGTACTCAGACGAACACTCAAGAAATACCAACGCGTCGAACCATACCTCCCAACCTTGCCCAACTAAAAAAGCAAGCACGCACACACTCTCCACAAACCGAACGGCCACGTACGCACGCGCACACTCTCCACCGACATCATGCACACCTCCATACAAATTGTTTTTCTAGTACGGCAGCGTGAACATCGTACCATGCCACACTCACCCCTTCGAGTCCGATTCACTTCTCCTACTCCGACGAGCGATACAGACAGGCACATGGATGGCAGATGGACGCACGTCCCAAGCGATTGAGCACCTTGATCGCATCGCAACGCAGTCGCGACGCCAACAAAGTCAACGCTGACCGCTGGATCGACTGTCTGAGATCCCCCCAAGGAGCCAACAAAGGCTACATCGAAAAGAAGATAGCCGTGTTCCAAACAAGCAGTATATCCGTTGCTAGCGTTGGGAAGCGTCTGCGCGATGGAAGCTGTAGAGTTCGCGAAAAACGGAGGCAAGTAAAAAGCGGCAAAGAGGCCCCACAACAAGCTCCGACGAGTCCAACAACAAGAAGCGCGGGACCGGAATTGAACCAGTGACCCTTCGAGCTGCAATCGAACGCTCTACCACTGAGCTACCCGCGCGTCGAACCATACCTACCCCCTTGCCAAACTCAAAAAACAAACGCGCACACACCTTACAAACCGAACGGCCACGTACCCATGCACACACTATCCGCCGACATCATGCACACTTCCAGACATAATTTTTTTTTAGTACGCAACGTGAACATCGTACCATGCACACTCACCCTTCGAGTCCGATTCACTTCTCCTACTCCGACGAGCGATACAGACAGGCACATGGATGGCAGATGGACGGACGTCCAAGCGATTGAGCACCTTGACCGCATCGCAACGCAGTCGCGACGCCAACAAAGTCAACGCTGACCGCTGGATCGACTGTCTGAGATTCCCCAAGGAGCCAACAAAGGCTACATCGAAAAGAAGATAGCCGTGTTCCAAACAAGCAGTATATCCGTTGCTAGCGTTGGGAAGCGTCTGCGCGATGGAAGCTGTAGAGTTCGCGAAAAACGGAGGCAAGTAAAAAGCGGCAAAGAGGCCCCACAACAAGCTCCGACGAGTCCAACAACAAGAAGCGCGGGACCGGAATTGAACCAGTGACCCTTCGAGCTGCAATCGAACGCTCTACCACTGAGCTACCCGCGCGTCGATACCATACCCACCCTTGCAAAACTCAAAAAAACAAACGCGCACACACCTTACAAAACCGAAACGGCCACGTACCCATGCACACACTCTCCGCCGACATCATGCACACCTCCAGACAGTTTACTTTCTATTAACCCAACATGCCACATGCGTTAACTATGACACAACTCCACCCCTTTGCGAGTCGCGATTTCACTTCTCCTAATTCGGGACTAGAGATAACAGGAGCTAACCGGCGCGTGCGAAACCATACCTAACCCCCCTGGCCCAACTAAAAAAAACAAAACACGCGACACACACCTCACAAACCGAACGGCCACGTACGCACGCACACACTCTCCACCGACATCATGCACACCTCCATACAAATTGTTTTCTAGTACGCAGCGTGAACATCGTACCATGCACACTCACCCCTTCGAGTCCGATTCACTTCTCCTACTCCGACGAGCGATACAGACAAGCACATGGATGGCAGATGGACGGACGTCCAAGCGATTGAGCACCTTGACCGCATCGCAACGCAGTCGCGACGCCAACAAAGTCAACGCTGACCGCTGGATCGACTGTCTGAGATTCCCCAAGGAGCCAACAAAGGCTACATCGAAAAGAAGATAGCCGTGTTCCAAACAAGCAGTATATCCGTTGCTAGCGTTGGGAAGCGTCTGCGCGATGGAAGCTGTAGAGTTCGCGAAAAACGGAGGCAAGTAAAAAGCGGCAAAGAGGCCCCACAACAAGCTCCGACGAGTCCAACAACAAGAAGCGCGGGACCGGAATTGAACCAGTGACCCTTCGAGCTGCAATCGAACGCTCTACCACTGAGCTACCCGCGCGTCGAACCATACCTACCCCCTTGCCCAATTCACAAAACAAACGCGCACACACCTCACAAACCGAACGGCCACGTACGCACGCACACACTCTCTACCGACATCATGCACAACCCCAGACAGTTTACTTTCTATTACCCAACATGCACATCGTACTATGCACACTCACCCCTTCGAGTCCGATTCACTTCTCCTACTCCGACGCGCGATACAGACAAGCACATGGATGGCAGATGGACGGATGTCCAAGCGACTGAGCGTCTTGACCGCATCGCGACGCAATCACTAACCAACGAAGTCAACACTGACCGGTGGATCGACTGGCTGAGATTCCCCAATGAGCCAACAAAGGCTACATCGAAAAGAAGATAGCCGTGTTCCAAACAAGCAGTATATCCGTTGCTAGCGTTGGGAAGCGTCTGCACGATGGAAGCCG